AGCGAGCTGATAATGTGTAATATTTTTTTCCAGCATTTCAAATTCTGAAAATCTTTAAAAATTCTTGTACTTTGCAAAGCTTTACATTTGTAATGAGATGCATATTTCACATTCCTTTGCTGACTAGTCATTATTATTATTCATCATCATCTGTGACGAAAACACTTTACTCTGTGTCCTTGGGTTATACTGGTGAGATATTAGAGGAAATGTGTTCTTTTTTATTTTTTTTTTTTTAGGTCAGATACAATTCAGTCATACAGTAATGTCAACTCAGAGCAAAAATGATAATGGAGTAATTGTTGCAGGGAAAATCTCAGATATCTAAATTATCTAGAGTACCCTTCTCCCTGGGATGCCAAACTTTTAGCCTGCTGATTACTTACTCTGGCATCTGTACCAGGTTACGGTTCTACAGGAACTCTAGCTTTGATTTAGTAACAAGTATATTTCTAGCTATGTGAATGTAAATAAAATATTTTGAAGCAGATCTATCTTCTCAAGCTTACTGTTGTGCTATTCTGATACTTCAGAGAATGGTAAACTATCCCATTAATTTTATAGAATTTAGGTTTGGAAAACATATATGATGATACCATTAAATATATTAAGTTTAAGAAGCACAAGCTTAACAACTTTTGAAGATCCTTGTCACCAGTCTGTTTCTTGTTGTTCTAAAACATGAAATAGCTTGCTGGTGATTTTAAAGCAGGGATGATATAAAATAACAACTGAAAACTAAATTTAAATTATGAAAATTAAATGTTAGATGCTTATGACTAGAGTCATAACTAGTGTAAACCCATATACAATCAAACTTCTGTCATTTTCTAAAAGTTCTTAAATTACCTTTATCAGTTTAATCATCATACTTAATTTAAATCCAAAAAGTGAAGATTTTAAAGTACCATGTTCAAGAAGATTGTAATCAAATGGAAAAAATTAAGATTTTAATCTCTGTTTTGTAGCTACCATAAGCATGAATGAACATTTAGTTTATCTGTTATAAATTCTATAAGCATTTTTAAGACCTAAAGTCACTACTATTAATATGTAGTTTAATCTCCTGCATAACACTAGCCAGGTTTCCATCTGAAGTTTTCCTTCATTTAACAAGTTTTCCTTCATTTAACAAATACTTTTAAGTTAAACAAAAACATCTCTTTCAGGAAAAACTTAAATCTCTATTTAAAGCCCTTAACTGATAGAGAAGTTATCACAGTCTTCAGTTATCTGTTTAATGGTTAATTAGTCAATCATTTTATTTTAATTTGAACTTCAATTTTCCAGCATGTAATTGTTGGGGTTTTTTTTCTACTAGATTAGAGCTTTCTGCTATCAATGTTTGTCTTCTTACAGGTAATTACAGAACATGATCAAGCTATTGCTTAAGCTTGTCTCTGATAAATTACATTAATTGGGCGCCATTTGCTCCAGTGTGTAATCAGACAATTCCTTTAGGAATCTTTCATGGCCAATCCAAGCAAATATGACACAGTTTGGTTTCATTAATATTGAGTGAAAATGAGATGATTGCATACTCAGATATGAGTCAAAACACGTTATTAGAACTTGTAATGGATTTTAATGGTAATGAGTAGTATTAAAAAAGACCAAACAAAAAAAACCCACCACAACAATTACCTTCATAAAAGGAAGGATGAGGGTTTCTTAGCCTAAAACACAAGTCAAACTAAACGTTGTGGAAGAAATAAACAACTTGTAAAGAATTTGGGTGATAAAAAATTAGCTTTAAGTGTATGATTTTTTTGAACATAAATGTAAGAAGATCATCTGAAGATCTTAAGACCTTGTAAATTATAGTAGAAAAAATTAAGTCCTTCTCAAATATCTGTGTCTGTTAAAGTGAAAGAAAAAAATAACTGGGTGCTTGTGAAGAGTCTTATCATAGATTAATGGTTTTAATTTATCTTAGAGGATTTAAATTTTTAAAATTATTTTCAGAAAGGAGCTAAGCAAACAATAGTTATTACTACAATATAGAGTGATATAAAGATTAGCTACCTCATAGAAAATTCCTGTTGTGAGACAAGCTATAGTTTCAAAGATTAAAGAATAACTTTTCCGCTCTGGAATTACTTATTTTAGAACACAATCATTCTTGCCAGAGTTTGAAGTTTACATGAATAACACACATAGATGCTGCTTTCTTAATATGAATTACTTTTCTGTAATTTATTGCTCTTCTGCCTCAACCCTGCAATCTATATACCATGTTATCTTTACTACTATTCAAAGTTCATTGATGTAGAAGATAAATCTTATTTCAATTCTGATAGGAAGGTTATTTTATCTCTTAATGTTTGGTACATTTTCTTCAAAATATATTAAAGAGAAACATCTTTATAAAATAAATGTGATTAACCCTTGTCCTAATTACATATTTTAATATATAAATGTTCAAACTGTTGATTTTTCTCAGGTTATATAAAACAAGGGGATTATTGACTGTTGCAGCTGTTTTCCTCTGTTGTGTAAATCCTCCTCAGTTCAGAGATTATTGATCTGAAAGACACTAACTGTTCCTCGGTCCACTGCAGCCTACTGTGTTGATGTAGTTACCACATAGGGCAAAAAGTCTACTGGCTAATAATCTTTCAGAAACACTGTTTGCAGTAAAAAGTTACTGAGCCTTGCTAAGGAGAAGTTCTTCTCAATTAAATGTCCCTATTATACCACAAGCATCAATATAACGGGGTATTTGGGTTGTTGGGACTGAGGAAAAGTAGGGACGAAAGGAAGAGAGCTCAATAAAAACCCTTTTCTTACAGGGTTGGGTTTTTTTTTTTTGGCTATTTTTTACAGTTATAAAACCTTATATATACTATGTAAGTACATCCAGAAACATGTCACGTTACAGACCCAATTAGACAGTGTAATATCATTCATTACACATGCTTGAAAAGATTCATTCATGCCAAGATTCAAGATGGATTTTTTGTTTTAACTCAGAACACAGACTTACACTTTTCAACTCCACTTTTCTTTCGACCTGAAATTGGAAGAATTGCTTACAGAGGAACCCCAAAATGCAATAGTTATGGCAATTATTGATCGTGATGAACAGCAAGGAAAGGTATTTTCAAGTATAGACTGAATCCTGAAATTTAAATTTCTAGTTTGCTGACGAGATATTTTTTTCTTAAATTCTTAGTGCAGTCACATAAGAGATATGTAGTTTTATAATAACCAGCTCCTAAAAATAGATGATATTTAAATTAGGCAGAAATTTTATAGCAAAATTCTGTCAGAAACAACACAGATGATTGAAATTCTGAAGCAGATTGATAAAGAGGACAAGTTTCTGACTGACTCCAACTGTCTTGCAGGTCGCAATAATTAGATACTGACTGATACATTGATACAATTACTCCATTCTTTTGGCCAGGACCATTTTCAGAGAAAGTGAACTAATATATATCACACTGATGCTTTCATAAGCTTGTAACTGTGAACTTCAAACAGGTCTTTTTCTTCTAGTCATAGTCTAGCCGTTTTCCTTGTCTCCAGCTTTGAAGTCCTTGCCCGTTGTTCTTGACTTCGTAAGTCATTATAAGACCTTTATTCAGGCTTGCTTCTTTCTGTTTAGGACTTTTTCCTTCTTTCTCTGAAAAACTGTTAAAAGCCAAATCATGCAGAGTCTTCTAGAGCAAAGGTGATACATACTTTTATGTTACTAAGAAATTAGGAATTAAAAATTAATAATTTCCCTGGAAAATTTGCTAGATATTTCTATGGTATTCCAATATTTATTTTGTATTTATTTATTTCCAGTAAGTATGTATTAGGAGGATTTTTTTATTTTAAAACAGAGGGCTTAATGCTTGTTTTCTTTAACAAACATTTAGTGATTCAAGGCTTGTTTTCACTTTACCCCAAACCTACAGCAAAGTGGTGTGGTGATGCTTTTTCACTTAGGGGCATTTGTAATTTAGAGTCTGTCATAAACAGAGTCCTAAGCATGGAGGTTGCCAACAGACCAACTGAATGCCTCATCTCTTTTTTTTTTTTTTTCTCTTAAAGAAATAATCAGTTATTCTAACCTCTTAATAAACTCCAACCATATATGAACTTCATTTAGCTCCATCAGGATCTTCTTTAAATTAAGGTGGGGTAATGGGAACATGATTTTAACAACATGTGATTTTCAATATCAATTAACTATATTCTTCCAATACTTTTACAACTTCCATACATGCACATATTATAATTTTATATCTGATGAGCTAATGAAGTGATACTCCTATTTTTAAACAAGATTATGCTTTTGCATAATTTTTGAAAGAGCAGAATGGACATAGGAAATAGGAAGGTTCCATTTCATAATTTTGTGTCTCCATTCCTGATTAGAGAATGTACTGAAGGGGCTTTTTATTCAGAGCTCTGCAGAAACTGTCAGAAACTGACCTGAAATGAAAACATGAAGCTTGGAAATGGATATGGATCCTATGAAATGACTCCTATAATTTTTAAACTGTACAATAGCAGAATTATCCCTCAATAATGCCAGGAATACTGCACAAAAAGGACAGCATCAACCTGCTAAAAAAAAAAAATAATTAAAAGGCCACGTTCTATAGTTAAAATAGAAAAGCTTTTTCTTCTACATTGGGCCTCCTGAACCAGGCTCAACTTTGCAGCTAAAATGAAATGGTTTAATCCTACACCACATGAAAGGAGAATGTCAGCAATTAAGTCAGACTAGAAAGCTTTGTTAGCGAAGGAATGCCTGGCTGGAACTTGCCCTCAAAGGCTTTACAAGGGAAACAGTAATTTATTTAGGCAATCTCTTGACAAAATACAAAAGGAACAAACTGATAATGGATTGGCACTTCAGGGGAACCAAAGGCCTTTAATAAAACTGCTCTGGACCACCCTTCTCCTAAATGTCAGGCTCTCTGAGATGTCACCTTCCAGTAACCTTGCCGGGATGCATGGCAGTGCGATTCACCAGGACACCCCCATTCTTCTCTTTTCAGGCTCCTGCTCACATGGCTATTGGCAATGTCGGAATGGCAAGTGTTACAGACCAGAACAAAGCTGTGATTTTGAAGACAACTGTGGGGATAATACAGACGAGAGTGAATGTGGAACTTCCTGCACCTTTGAGAATGGCAGATGTGGCTGGAAAAATTCCCTGGCAGACAATTTTAACTGGGTGCTAGGGGTCAGCTCGCCTCAAAGTCTTAGACCTCCCGGGGACCACACACTTGGAAATAGATCTGGTAGGTTGTTAGCTCACAAATGAGGTGTAATTGTGGAGCTTCTCATACCTCCCTTCACAGACAGCAGGGGTGTTCTAACATGTCAATTCAGGATGTCATTTTTAATTAAATGTGTAACAATATGAAAATATTACTTACTGTTTTAAAGTGGCTCTAAATTAGTAAAAATTGATTATAAGTTGTTTCTTCCTTGAGTATTGCTGTATGAGTCAAGTAAGATAATTTTTTACTTGTCAAGAGGGAGGCATTTAGTCTGGCTGCAGCTTGCAAGGGTGAGTGAGCTCAGTGCTGACATCCACTGTGAACTGCTGCTCTGGAGCTTGAGCTCATTTCAAGGAAGCTTAGTTACCCATAGTGACTATTCATAGCTTAATTTTAACTAATTTTAAATCAATAAATTTAAATAAATAAACCTACTTTGTTAGTGACAGTGCAGTTTCTGTTTCGTTCTATCAAAAGTATCCAGTTATCTGTTCTTGTTCTTGCTACAAGCTCCATGCCTTCATCCTCAGCCTTTGAAGATCCCATAGCTCAGGCAAAGATGTTACTGAAGCTGAGCTCAGAACTGATCTTAAATTTAAATATTCCACAGCAGAGTTGCACCGAGGGTAGGACTTGTATTTAGTAGTTGTTGAATGTCTACATGAACTGCTGAAGAACAAAGTCTGATAAGACCGAAGTTTACTTAAGTTATGTAAAAACTCACAAAATGTCAGATGTAGAAAAAATAAGTTCATTTGCATTTTCTAATTATATATATTTTAAATATTATTATCAACATATCACTACATTTGTTAAATATATGCGTGACCTCAGGGAAAAAGCAAATTTCTCATCCCATAATATTATGACAAAAATCTATGGTTGTAAACTAACCAGAGAAGTGTCAGAGTTAGAATAAACTCATCTTACTCTACCTTTAATAAAGCAATTTTTTTCCTCTCTAACTCATATACACACTTTAGAAGATGTGCAACTATAGTTTTAACAATATATTGTTTATACTACATTTACATTCATGTGAAAATGAAGATTTAGAGAATTTATTATACTTCTGATTAAAAATGAAAATGGAAAAGTGAAGGACCACATGAGTGTTGAAAAATATAGGCATCTATTTTTGCAATTTCCTCTGACTGAATAATTTAAATTTGAGTTAATATTCATACATTAAAGAGTACAGATAGCGCAAGGTAATCTGAGTCATTAGGGATATCTAATGATTTATAAGTGTTTGAATTTTTTTGCTTGTTTCACAAGTTTTTGTGTAGTGTGACTTGCTATTTTGAAGGTTATCTTTCAGAAAACTTCATTCTGAAATTTATCATGGTTTGGCTATTGTATGATGTATTGTCAAAATAGCAATTAAAGCTCTTGGGCAAGGAGATGTAATCAGAGGAGCTGGGGAACATGGAAGTATTCTCGCTCTTCTGCACAAGCCCATCCAAATCATAAGATATTCCCAGTTTGTTCCTGATATAACAAGTACGCAAGGAATGTGATCTGGTCATGTTTTACCCTAGCCAAGGTTCACTAGTGCAGGACATATATGGGAAGTATACTTCACGTGCTTCTGCGTTAACTTTGCTGAGTTTGGGATCTAATCTGAAATTCCAGAATAATTTTTCAGTAATACATGATTTCATTTCAGGACAATTCCTGTATCTTGAGGCCACTGCGATAGGCCTAAAAAATGAAAAAGCCCATGTGAGGAGTTCCAGATGGAAAGAATCAAGTGGGACTTGTATGATGAGTTTCTGGTACTTCAAGTCATCAAAAGCCATGGGCCGTATTCAGGTTCTGATTAAGGTAACATAAAACCTTTATCTTTTGAATATCTGATACCTGTAAAGGTGTATGTGCTCCAGCAGGCTGCTTCAGCACTCTGACGTTCTGTCGATTGTCTTGTAGACTGGAAGAGTTCCCATGCACTTCCTAGTTCAGCACTGGTTTTTATTAAACTGGTCTCTTAAAAATGTTTCTAACATTTCTCTTCCAAAAGAACTTTCTCTGAGAAGCCACAGAAAATATTTTTAAAACCTCTTCCATTTTCCCTCCTCACATACGGTACTTTTCTCTTTTATAGTCTCGATGTGAGAGTTATTTTCGTATTTTGCTTCCATCCTTATTGGTAGCTATCAATATAGAGCTGTATAATTCTGATGGAATGACATCAACCAAAAAAAATGAATTAGCAACCTGAACAAAGTGAGAAAAATATGACTGTATTAAATTAGTTGTATTTTGTGTAGACAGGTACCAAAATATATAACCAATTTTCTTTAGCAATTGCATTTTCTTCACTAGATGTGGGATGACCAAAAAATTATAAGAAAAAAAAAATACTTAGTTATTCAGTTACAAGTGAAAACGGATACATTCCTTGAAAACTGTCTCTTTCATTTGTTGTTCATTAAAAAGAAAAATAATTAAATGCTTATAAACCCAACTTTTAAATCATAATGTGATTGAGTAAAATGTGGAAATTAACGATCAGTTATAGCAAAGGCATATGTTTCACCTCTGTGTGCATACTATGCATTTTAATGCCATTGGGCATTTTAATGGTGTTCCAACCCAACAACCAAATATACAACTTCTAGATGTAGTAGAAACCTTTGCAAAAGAGAGTTTGTATATTTTTGCTTATCTCTACCTGTGCAGGGGGTTTCTGTCTATTCAGGTATAACCCATGGTGCAATTTATTTGCCATGTCTGCTAACTTCTCTTTCTTCAATATGTCTAATAAAGTCTCAGAATATAAGTTATTTTGGTGAACTGTATTAAAATTTCTGTTTTATTTCCAATGCATGTGTTGACTGCCTTAACTTTTAACGACAAATCATATTTTGCCCTTAAAACTAAATTGCTAGAATGTTTCAAAAATGTTCAGAATATTATAAGACTAATACAAAAGCCAGGAATAAAAAGTACTTCAACAGTCTTAAACTCCTAAAGACACAACCTAGTCAAAGTCTGTCTGAAATATAAAAACAATGAACTCTTTGACAGCCATTAGGATAATTTTTCATGGATTAGTCTAAACACCTACAAATGACAACAGTCCCCTCATCAAGTAGCTGTATAGTTAATGAGATGTATTCATATAGCTACTTTTCCTAGAAAAGCTCAAATCCATAAAGAAGGCAAATAGATTAAAAAAAAATAAATTTGTTGTTTGAAAATAATTTTTCTTTGTTAAGGTATTCAAAAATGAAACCAAAAATAGCTCTAATTACTTACAATGTATATGGTGCAAAAAAAACATGTTTATTTTAACTGAAAGTTCACATTATGTTCTCATCATTACTCAGAGGTGTGTCTTGTAGCAGCCAAATATTGCAATTATGAGTATTTTTAGGATTGTTCAATTTTAATTGTAAACTAACTTCTAAACTAACTGTTGGAAAATAAATAGCAGCTGCATTAGATACATGTGAGTAGTTATCACTGTTGATGCTGTACATTGATTGTAATTCTGAGTATGTTGCAGCATGGACAGTTACCTTAAAAACAGAAAAATAATTGCATCTTATTACATGCAGTGAAATTAATAATACACTTGCAAATACTTCTGTTAAGCAGGACAAAAAAGAAGTGAAATAAAAGAAAATCAAACAAACCACACCATATAAAGTGAATTAAGAGAAATTTATTTTTTGCTGGGATAGTGTCTCTGAATGGTTCAAGTCCAGTAATTAAAATTCTTAATTATTTTTTCCACTCTTAGTATGGACAAGGGGATTTAATATTTTTAATTATTTTTAAAAAATATTGACCTGAGCAGAGTTTTGCTAGATAGTTGTCCTAATTTATAAGAGCCTGTAGAGATGCTTTTCTACTCTAGTTTTTATTATTTCTTTGAAATATAATAACTTTTATGGAGTTTTCTAGATCACTATTGGTAATATTTCCTTTTTCTATGTTTTGAGAACATTCTTTGTTTTCTCTTTCTTTTATTCTTATTACGGTGAGACATTTCCCTCTTTCTATTTTCACCTAATTTTACTATTCTAATAAAATTTTGAGGCATTATTTTTATGTTATTTTAAATCCTTTTCTCCATGAAGCTTAAAAAGACTTTTAATGGCAGTGTAAATAGAAAACATTTGAGTAAAAAGTTATTGTTCTTCATACATTTCTCTCTCTATATATATATATATTTAATGAAAGCAAGAATTCTACTTGGAGATAGGAAAAATAATTTTCGTTATTGTGTCCAGGATGTTTTGCAGATCAGCCTTGTTTACGCATTATGATGCTTATAAGGATTTGCAAGTCCATATTAAAGAGTTTCTATATAGCAGTGTTTGTATGAATAAAATCTAATTGTCTGATAGTCATGGGAAGTCATACTAAAGCTTTTCCTGCTAGTTCATACCACAATACCAATATATTTCCATCCAGTTTGAGTATCTCTTGATTTTAAAGTTAATTTCAATGAAAGCAGATCAGTAGGTTCTGATGAGTTGAAAATGCAAGTAAGAGGAGATGATAGGGGAAGGAATTTACCATGTCATGTTGGACAACTTGGCAGACTGTTTCTAGCTAAAGTTATGTCCATGAAACGTTGAATTGAGGGTGAACACCATACACTCCAACGGCACAGTAATGAAAGATATGATGAGGAAGTATCATATTAAGGCAGAATGAGGAAGACATTTCTGCTCCTCCTGAATATCACAGTGCAAGAAAAATGGTAATCAAGATTAAAAAGCCATTTTTAAAAATCATGGTTCATGGTATGTATTGATGTCTTCTCTTAATATTTGCATTGCTTGTCCACATTCAGGAAGCTAAAGAATATTATCTGTCATGCTACTAAAGTAGTATCTCAGATTATGATATAACCAATAAAACTGCAGGATCATAAAAGAGGTACTATAACCAAGTGTGAACATTTATGTTAAGTTTTGCAATTAAAGAAAACAAAATCATTTTCTGAGGAAATTTTTCCATAGTTTCTTGGGTTTTTTCCCTCCTAAAATTGTAGTATACATTCTTCATATAAACCTCTCTGTATCTGGAATAATATTCCAGTAAAAATGATGGGCCATTGAACTACTTGCAAAAATAGAGTATTCTTCAAATCATCCCCCTCAACATTTATGTAAAGGAAATATGTTGACATTACAGCTATTTATGAAGACTGCCATATCTGACTTGCCATCTATCTAAATTGAAATTACAGAGTGTTTAATAGCAGTGCAAAAGCTCACAAGGAAGTATATCACCAGAAGATGTCTGGATATAACTAGTCAAAGCTGTGCTTCTGTAGTGAGATCTTCAGATACTTCTAATCTCTGTGGCAGCTGTAAGAGAATACAGCCCACTGCAGATATGTTCTGAAGCTGAAGTGCAGCATATTCGCTGTGCCTGTTTTAGTGATGATAGTGGGGTTCCTCATTGGCACTTAATACTGGGTTATTTCACGAGTCAGGAGAAACTGTTATTTTTAATCGTGCTTCTGAAGAGCCAAGCAAGAATCCTTGGGTGAAAGGAATGATACATGTTGTTGTTCAACTGATTTGAACATTGTTTCATATTGCTGCTTAAATTGTTTCTGTCATAAAAAAGAAGCATGTCTTAGGTATCACAGCAGGAAAGGAACATGAATAAAAGGATAATACCATTTGTTGAAGATAATTTTTGTGGTTTTATGGGATTAATGTTAATTGCCCTGCAGATAGACATTGTAATAATAAAAAAAAAAAAAAGGATTTAATACAGTTGATGGGGGACCCTCTTTCAAGGGTCTGAAACAAGCCTCTAAAAAGAAATATGCAGATGGATAAGGAAGGTGAAACCTGCCATTAGTAACTATTTCCGCTGACTGTGACAAGGCCCATATACACAGAATCTCATTAGCAAGTTCCAGTGGACCTTAGTCAGGCATTTAATTCCATCCTGTTACAAATGAGCAAAGATGTAATGATATTCAGGAGGAGAAGTCCTGACCTGCTCATGCCAAGTGAAGCAGGGCCTCATTGACACCGCTGCAGTGACAGACTAACCTGGCTAGGACAACAGGCAGCTGGAGCCAGCAGCCAGCATCCTCCAGCTGCTTAGGGCTGATGCAGCACAGACCATGTTGCCTGGTTCCAGCAAAAGCTGCAAGCTGTCACAGTGGTTCCCTTGATGTTTTTATTGTTTTTAGCTAGCCTAAGGTGGAGAGGAGAGTGCTAGTAGTGTAGAAATGTGTAGCTTAATAGGTACCACAGCACAAGTATAGACATTCATGGTGGTTTTTGTAATTCCCTGGTTATTTTTAGTAGAGCAGCCTACTGTCCTGAGCTGTTGACAGGAAAACCTGCAGCAGAGATGCTGAAGATGTAAACTGATATCTTCTGGACATTGTATTTCTAGGATCGAGCAGTTTAAAATGAAATTTTCACAAATCGATATCATTGACCCTACTTCTATGGGAAGTCAGTCAAGAATAAAGCCTGAGGAAACAACTTACTCTACTTCACAGCTTAAAATAGACTGTGTATTTCTACATTGATTCTTGTCACTGGCTGCATGAAAAACAATCAACTACTCACATTAGTGTTGAAATTATAGATTTCATTGAATTCAGGTAGCCTCAAAGCAGATTATCTGACCTCCATGAAACTAGAGGAAGAAACTTTAAATTTTCAAAGATTTCCTTGAATGTTTTACTTAAGTCTGCTGAGCTTCAAAGCATGCTCCAAACAATGTAGAAAACATGTAGATTTTTCACTTGCCCTCTTAAGACATATAAAATTCTTATATAAATTCTTTATATCTAATGCAGAAAGTTTAAAGTTTTCTAGTATTAGTATATG